TTGGGCGGCCCCCCGCCGGTGGTGGGCGCTGGTGGCTTAGGGAGAGAAGCGGACTGTGTTTTGGCTTTCGATGCTGAAGTCTTTGCAGGATGAGTTGAGGCCAAAGGCTTTAAGTTGATTTGTTGGTGTGTTTTTTTTTTTTTTTAAACAGGCCAACATCAAACACACAGACAAGAATAAAAACAAAATGCAAAAAAAGTATAAATTGCACAACTCAAAGCAAAATGATAAGCAATGAGGAGCTGCAACTGAAAATCAGCATTCCTTTTTTCTGAGTTCAGTCAAGAGCAGAAAGGCACCAGGACAGGGAAGAAACTGGGCACTGTTTCTTAGTGACCTGCCACAAACCAGCAGGGGGACAGCTGCGATTTAAATTCAGTGGTAGCTTTCAACAATTAACTAACTCCTGCAGGCTGTGACAACTCTCTGGAAAAGTACCAGCAGGTGACTACGTTACCATTACCTGCACCTCGATGAGGCAACATCGGCTTCCTGCTTAAGACCACACGAAAGTGTGCATTTTGAACTTTGCGATTAGTACCAATTAGTTTCTGAAGCTATGATTCACCTTAAAATTTTGTGTTCCCTTTCATGAATGCAGATTTTAGGATCTATTTCTTTCCTTTTTTTGGTTAAGCCTCACCCAAGGATATTTTTCCATTGACTTTTAGAGAGGGTGAACAGGAGGTGATAGATAAATACCAATGTGAGAGAGACACATCAATTGGTTGCCTCCTGCATGCACCCTGACCAGGGCCGGGCTCGAGCCTGCAACCAAGGTATGTGCCCTTGACCGGAATCAAACCTGGGACCCTACGGTCTGTGGGCCGACGCTATCCTCTGAGGCAAACCGGCTGGGGCCAGACTATTTAAAAAGAGTTCTGCGACTCCTTTTGCTGTTGTTGAGAAGCAGAAACAACCTCTACAGAACATTTCCACAGATACTCAAGACAACAGGGTCAAAGGCAGCGATATTAAGGTCTGAGTTAGGCCATTATGGTAAAATGGGAATATTACCATAATCTTACCATAATATTAAGCACATCCAAATTTGAGAAAAGACTAACAACAACTCAGAAAAAAGAAATTTCACTCACGATTCAAGCAATAATAGCTGAAGGTACCGTCAACAAAATGACAGCAGTCAAAGATAACCCACCATTCCGGCAACTACCTTGGCTTTCTTCTCGGGGCTTGGTGGGAGCTCCTTGTTTGGAGGGGCAGTGATGTCATTTCCGGTCACGCTGGCAGCCGCTGGCCCTTCTGGTTTGGCTGTTCCTAGGGGAGGAAGTCATGTTGAACAAGTGGTTCTCACACCCAGTTCAAAAAGGCGAGCCTTCGCAGAGACAGACAACTGACTAGCACTTCGCTCTGAAGAAAGCCCGCAGGGCTGTGCCGCTGAAATGTGGGCAAGACTCCCATGTTCCCCTCCTGGTGACGGAGGAGTTCAGATTCCAGAGATCCGGCCAGCCTGTCCCTGTGGGGAGGCAACCTGAGTGGGATTTGCACAAATGATCAAGGGAAGGAAATGGCCCTCAAGCTTGGCCTCCCTTCCCTGGAGACAGATAGGCACAGGCTTCTGTCGCCCAACCACCAGCTCCCAGAGCGCACAGGACAAGCCCTCGGCTCCTCGTGTATCTGCCGGAATAAAGGCTGCACAGATGGGCTGCGTGCCAGGAGATCACGCGTGTCCTCCTCTGACTTCCTCTCCCTGGGAAGCACTGTGCAGAGGATGTGAGCTGCCCGCGATCTGATTCCGGCAGTGACCCAGATTCCCAACGAGGCAGGAGACCCGGGAAACCGGACCCGGCCAGAAAGTCTCCAGCCCTGGGCTCTGCCCGCGGCCCCGCTGCCCTGCGGCGGCTCCTCCAGACTTCAGCAGGGCCCCCCCGGAAGCACTAACAGGCCCTGCATTTCGCCTGGGCACAGGGAACACCGTTCTAGTTGCCACAGAATTCAGAAGCCACGAAAGTAACTTCGACCACAGAAAATAAAAAACCTTCAATGAGGCCAAAATAACAAAAAGCCAAAAGGCAAGTGATAAATAGGGAAAAACACCATGTGAACGTCACATCAAAGACCAAGAAATTATTATGTCAACTCCTCCTATGAAGACCAACAACCCAGGAGAAAAATGGCCAAAGAATATGAACACAGTTCATAGAAATACAAATCACGTTTGAAAGTAAGAAACTATGTCCAAAAAAAAAAAAAAAAAAAAAAGAAACTATGTCCAGTCTTTAAGAAAAATGAAAATGAAAATGACCCAGATATGCTACTTTTAACCTAACACATTATCAAAAGTTCTGAGATGGGAAAGTAACTGTTGGGGACAATTTGAGGACATGCACTGCTGGGACGTGTAAGAGATGGAACTCATCCCGCAGTATCTCTGAAAATGACCAGTGCAGATACATTCTAATCCAGAAATCTAACTTCTAAAAATGTGCATCTTAGCGATGCAGTCATACGCCTGCAAAACAGCAAACATCATGGTCTTTTGTTTGTTCATCCTCACCCAAGCATATTTTTCCATTGATTTTTAGACAGAGAGGAAGGGAGGCGAGACCGAGGGAGAGAGAAACATTGATGTGAGAGAGACACATCTATTGATTACCTCTGACCAGGGCCAGGGGTAGAGCCAGCAACCGAGGTACATGCCCTAGACAGGAACTGAACCCAGGATCCTTCAGTCCACAGGCTAACGCTCTACCCACTGAGCCAAACCGGCCAGGGCCAACATTGTGGTCTTTTACCAGAGCACTGTTATGAAAAGCAAAGGCCTGAAACAATCCAGACATACATTCATAAGAAACTGATTACATCAATGCAAACTCAGAATCTGAAAAAGCACCAAAAAACTCTTTTGTGATTGATATAGAACCATCTCTAAGTGAAAAAAAGGAAGGAAAGAAAAAAGCCAGGCACAGAATAGTAGGCATAACATAAAACCATTTGTCTAGAAAAGAATGGGAGAAAGTACATTTCTATTACAAATACACTTGTATGTGATTTTTAAAATCTTTGGGCCCGGCCAGTGAGGCTCAGTGTCAACCTAGGAACCAGGAGGTCATGGTTTGATTCCCGGTCAGGGCACTTGCCTGGGTTGTGCGCTCGATCCCCAGGGTGGGGGGCCTGCAGGGAACAGCCGATCAATGATTCTCTCTCATGGATGTTTCTATCTCTCTCTCCCTCTCCCTTCCTTTTGAAATCAATGACAATATATCGAAGAAAGAACAACAACATTGTGCCGAGTGGGCAGCAATGCCTTGTGCAGCAGAGCTGGTGCCTTACCCCACGTGTCCCTTCTGCCCCGGCCCTGGCCACTGAGCGTCCTCAGGGGCCCAGGATCTTCAGTGAACACACGACCTCACTGCCCGTGACATAAACGTGCAGCACCTCAACCTACACAGTGAGCGTCACCCAACGAAAAACGTGAGCCATGCACAGCACAAGGTGTCGCCCTCCCAGTCGGTGCTTCTTGACACGACCCGGGTCATTTGCAGCCGTTAGCGACCACGCCCTCTACATCCCCAGTTAAAAAAAAGTGTGACACAGAATCATTAACTGCTCCACAGAACTGCTCCCTCTGCTGGATCTTCCCATTACCACCTGCTGATGAACCCAGGGTCCAAAACACGTCTCTCTCTCTCTCTCTCTCTCTCTCTCTCTCTCTCTCTTTCACACACACACGTCTTACACATCACCCAGTGTTCCAGTCCAGGTGACCCCACCTCTGCCGCCTTTCCTGTCGTGATGCTGGTATTGCACCTGCTACTACTCTCTGAATCTAATGGTCATAACAGGATTTTTTTTGCCTCCAGTCCATCTTCTGTCTCCAGCATTGTATCGACTGAGGTGAGTCTTAATTCATTGCCACAGGCCATCACCAGTGTTTAAAACACAAGAGAACCCGGAGCATCCGAGGGGGCGTTTGAAACCTGGGTTCCAAACCGCTTTCCAGATCCCCTCCCTCACGACTTCTGCCGTGACGCAGGCGGCTCTGGCCTCTGTGCTCAGCCCGCACCTTTCTCCAGGAGCCTCCAGGTGAAGTGACAGGTCTGAATGGCGAAGGCTGGTGAATAAGCCTGTGGCATCTGGCAAACAGCTCTGTGGACCAAGCTGAGCCAATAAGATACATGTATACACTCTCTCTCTAAAAGAAAGAAAACTTCAATTAAGTAACGCTGGGTCCCTGAGACTTAAGGTAGCATAGAGCGGAACCCAGAACCCAACTAGGCCGACCCAATGTCCTGTACAGACCGAGTCACAAAGAAAGCAAGAAGTAAGAGACGGCAGAGGAAAGACAGTTTCTAGAAGTGAAAGGAACGGAGACATATGAGGGGGAAGCGCAGGTCCCGAGACACATGGCTGCAGGCGGCTGCTCTTCCAGCCGGACTCTCCTACGGCCGGTCCTGACCGTGGTGTGCACGTGAGCTCCTCTGAGTGCGCAGCATCCGTTGCAATCGAGTGATTCTCAGGAGGCTGCCCCACAGACACTCGCCCTTGCCCTTCCAGCTGAAGCGTGCTGTCTGGGCCGCACGCCTCGTCTGCCTGGAAGCTTTCCTCCCCATTGTCAGGTCCTCAGTCCAAGGCCACCTTTTCCAAACTGTCCACGATTTACAACCCTCTCACCAGCACGCCCATCGACACTAGGCCACCAGCTGCTGGTGGGTAGGACACCACCAGCCCCTGGACAGTGCGGATGCCGGCACATGGCAGGCACGCTGACTGCATTTGTCTTCACACCGCACCTGGCAGGGGCAGCAAACATCTATCAGGTGAATGGATCAGTGGGGTGTGCCAGCCATTTAAAATTTTCTATCAGCATGAACCTCAGTGAGCGTGAACTCGGATGAACTTGTTCTGAAACAAACAAAAACCTTCATGCATCACCACCGAGGCCTCTGGCACCGAACTGGGCACTTGGGGATCAGTGAAAAGAGACAGAACCCAGGCCACGAGAGATGTTTCTGCCACAAGCAGGAGCCAGCCCGGGCAGGACACCTGCAGACTGGCCAGCCTGGAGTCAGACCCCATCAGGGACACAGGGCGCTCCTTGTCTGTCTCCGTTAGGAAGAAGCCACCTGTCAGTCTTAAAGGTCCCGCTCCAATACCCCTTCCCTAGAAAACAACACATCTGCTTTTAAGAGAAAAAGAGTAAAATCTTTCATTAAAAACGTCCTGAGATAAATATTAGAGAAAACAGTTCCTAGGAAAAGAGGCAATTTTTACGAACAAAACCCATTAAATCCCCACCAGCCAACACGCTTGTGAAGGCGCAAACTGGACTCGGGAAACAGCTTTCTCAGACCCCCAAGGAGTCTGGGGCGGGGGGGGGGGGGGGGGGGGGCTTGGCAGGGTCCCCAGACCTTGTGCCAATCCTGGCTCAAGGGCCAGGGTGGGGAAGGAGGGGGTGACGTCTCCACCTCCCCAGTCTCAGTTTCCTCATCTGTAAACTGGGGCTAATGACACTTAACAAGCGAGGGGGGTGGGGGGCATGTAATTAGCTCCCGCTGGCTCTGGGCTTGGAGGCAGCCCCGAGACCGCAGACTCAGCGTGTGTTAAGCGAAGTCTCCTCTCTTCTCCCCCTACAATCCTCCCAACCTGCACACAGAAAGAGAGAACCAGAAGCAAGATGGTCAACCGTGAGGAATAGGAAAGGACATGAAACAGCAGCTTTAAAAGGCTCCTCTTCAGCTGGAACAAAAGTGAAACGGGAAGCAGCCCCCCAGGCTGTGCTGCTTGGTGAGGAGGCCGCGCCAACAGCCCCGGGGACCTCCTGGCACAGGCAGGTCTCGGCCAGGAAGCCGGTCAGTGGTGACTGCGTGGCCGGACAGGGGCTGAGCGGGATGGGCGGCGAGGTGACAGGAGGCTGAGGAAGGTGCCCGCCGCCCTCTAACCACCACCCCCCCGCGGCCCACCTCCTCAGCCCCCATGATCTGTGCTGCCAACAGACACGCAGGCTGGCCCAGCCCCATCACTGTTCACTCCTTGGACCTCCCCATGGCAGGGAACTCGCTTCCCAGGCTGAGACAGGCTGCCTCCCGCTCCCGCCGCCTGTCACTGGGTCCTTCCTCGCTGCCTGCCGCACGGCCTTCTGCTGGGCTCGAAACATACCGTTACGTGGGGTCTCCTCACACAGGAGCGATGCAGCGCTCTGGGGAGCGGTGGCCTCAGTTTCCTCCTCCCCGGCCAGAGCCCCCCGCCCTGGCTGCTGCTCCCCTGCCTGGCAGACGTGGAGGCCTGAGTCCGTGCCGGCTCCACTAACACCTTCT